TGTCAGCACAGAGCCAGGCACGGGGGCTCAAACGCACAGACTGTGAGGTCATGATTTGAGCTGAAGTCGCATGCTCAACCCACTGACCCACCCAGGCACCTTACCCCTAGCAAATTCCACGTGTACAATACACTAGTCTTTACTCACCAGGCTATAACATTTAGTGCCTACCCATCCTGCATCAGTAAACCTTTTACCATTTGATCCAATGTCTGAACATTTCCCTGTCCGTAGCCCCTGGCAACAATCATGCTAATCTTTATAGTTTGGTCTGTTTTAGGTTCCACATATATGTGATTTTGATGAGGGAGCTTGAGGCAGGCTGAGGGGCAAAGCACAAGCTAGCAGCCCCCTCCCCAGGTGGGCATGTAGGCTATTCCTTGGACACCCCAGGCTACCCCAAACCACAAAGGGACAAACAAACGTTTAAACTGATAAGAGTGTCCACCACTTACCAGAAAAAGGCAATCCCTTCCTAGTTTAAAGTCCAGGAACTCCCTACTGTCTCAATGTCAGCGCTTTGCAGCAGGGACACACAACCTGACCTTGACAACAGCTAGGTCTCCAGTGAGTCTGTAGCATGTGAAAGTCTCTTTGGAAAGTCCCTCTTGGCTTTAACTCCCTGGACTCCATGAAAGGGTCACACACACCCTGCCCCACTACCCCAGTGCACCTCTTCCTGCACATCGGTCCTGTCTCCATGCTTTCATAAACTCACCTTTTTGCACCAAAGACGCCCATAGATTTCTTTCTTGGTCGTTGGCTCAGGCCCCCACAAACCCTGTATGTTGTCGATCATACAGTATATATTTGTCCCCTTGTGGCTCATTTAATTTAACTTAAGAAAATATCCTCTAGGATTCTTCTATTGGTGCAAAGCGAAAGATTTCCTTCTTTTCTGAGGCTTTTAGACAAAGAATGAATCAGATGAGAGACCTCTATTGGGAAAAAAGGTTATACCAAAGGGGAACTTGTAAAAAAGTGTTGCCTGCCTGGCATGGCAAATATTTGTTTGCCCAATATTTACTCTTTCCTTTTTCCTGAGTGTACTTCCCCCTCTTTGAAATTCTAATTCTCTAGCCCTTCTCCTTAATCAGAATGGCACATAAGGATCATTTGCCTGACTCTGACACTCATCTCGTTGATGTTCCTATAATTAAGCCTTTTTTTCACTTATGAATCTGTCTTATAATAGTTCAATTATTAGACCAGACAAAGAATTGAGAACACATGAAGCAAAGTTTTCCTCTCCTACACATTCATTCCGTTGTTGAGAAGTGTACTTGGTGCTTCAGATCCAAAAGAAACTGAAAAGAGAGTGAAGAGCCTAAGTAACGTCGTTTTGAGATGAAGGCCTGCATTAAAAGCAACCTCGGGCTGCACAAAGCAGCAGTTTCAGGAAAAACCGCAGATTGCTCAAGGCCGAAACCACTCTCAGATCAGCCAATCAGAGGAGGTTAAAAACATTCCTGAGGCCTGAGACAAGGGCTACTCCCCCTTGCCTAACTCACGTCATAATTGGTCATTTTCAAAGGAGTCTCAAAAGGTCATAATTGGACTCCGCCAAAAGTAACGGACACCTCGCAGACGCTGAATGGTCAAAAAAACTGTTACCATGGGTGTTGTACAACTATGATTGGCGCTTATGTGATGATACTATATGTACAACGTGTGCACTGTAACACCCCCGTCCTTTACCCCATAAAAATCCTGCTCGCTATTGTTCGGGGCTGCACTCTGTTGCCGCTGCATCGGCTGGTGGGTGAGCCCCTGCTCGAGCTTGTAATAAAGCCCTTATGTACTTGCATTGGTTTCAGCTCCTTGGTGGTCTCTGGGAATTCATGATTCAGGCACAACATGTGGGGGCTCTCCCGGGTGTCGGAGGCCGGCTCCGGCAGGTCCAGGGTTTCCTGAAGGATGGATGGTGTAGGCGAGAGAGAGAGTGAGAGAGCCCCGAGATTCTTTCTGATCACCAGGCAGGCATCTCTGTCCTGTCAGTTTTGGTGTCTTTATTTATAGGTTAAATAATAACATGGCATCAGAAAAAGGAATTTTTACAATGGATAACTCTGTGATAAGATGCCTTGGAAAGTGTACAGAGGCAGGTTTTACAGAAATATTCTTGCAGAACTATTCCAATTATAGTGAGGTTAAGTAAATCTTATAACTAAAGAATTAACAGAGCATTCTTAGTAAAAGACAGGATACATATTTGTTCTAAGTTAATGACGCTAAGATTAGGTCATAGATTAAGTGTACAGATGGGCTACGAGTCATCCCATCTGGCTCTCAAGAGGACCAATGTTTGTTTTTTTTTATTTTTATTTATTTCTAAGAGAGAGAGAGACAGCGTGAGTAGGGGAGGGTCAGAGAGAGAGGGAGTCACAGACTCTGAAACAGGCTTCAGGCTCTGAGCTGGCAGTCAGCACAGAGCCCAACGCGGGGCTCGAACCCACGAACCGCGAGATCATGACCTAAGCGAAAGTCGGACGCTTAACTGACTAAGCCACCCAGGCGCCCCAAGAGGACCAATGTTTTTGAGCTGGTTAATGAGTTGTTGGTGGAAACCTATTTGATGCTGAATGTGTGAACACCATGGAAGCCCTAAATGTGTCCGCCTTTTGTTTGTGGGTAATGTTTTAGCTACTCTAATCTATCCTCATCCTAGCCACCAGTAAGGGAGGGTGTTTGCAGAAAGTAGGCCTTGAGGAAGGGACTGCCATGCTTCACCAATTAGCAAAGATATATGTAGTAACTATGTTCTGCCCTTATCTGTACCTTAACTCTAAATTAGGCTCTTTGTCTCGGGGCCAGGCTCAATTGTAACTCTTGTGTTCTTAACCCCCTTTATTATCTAAGTCTTGGATCTGCAAGTCCCATAGTAAGAGCCTTTTGACAATCATCCATAGAGCTTTCATCTAAAATCTCTTTTGTAAAGGCAGGAATATGCTTTTCCTTATGAGGTATCTGTGTTCAGAATATTGGTCTGATATGGAATATTGTGAGGCCCGGTCAATATCAGCAGGCTCATTTCCAACATGAGCCAGTAGTAGCAGCAAGAGATACCAGTTTTCGTTTCTCATGGCAGGAGCTGTACAAACACTGCCATTTCCTTGCTGTGACTGCCATCCAGAGAGGCCGCTGTGGCTCCCGGCACCTGGGATCCCCCAAGACCCCCAGGACCCCCGAACCGAAGGGCCAACCGGCCGCTAAGAACTTCTTTGTCTCTGTTTGTCTAGTTTGTCTGTCTGTCTGGTTCATATTCTGGTCCAGGGACAATTCGGTATCTGGAAGTGGTCAATTACAGTCAGGCAGTTGCGCCACAGGACCGTGACCACGGGGGGTCCTGTGAAGACGTTTCAGGCCCCCATCGGTAACGGGGTTCAAGGCCCCATTGGTAAAGGGGGTTCGAGGCCCCCCATTTGTAAAGGGGATGGAGCGCCCCCATTTGTACCTTGGAAAAAGACGGAGCGGGTCGCTACCGCGAACCGGCGTGAGGCCGGCATCTTACTTTCTGTTTCTCCTCCGATCCAGCGGGGGAATCTGTTGTCTAGCCTTCTGTGTCTCTCTGTGGTTCTCGGTTTTATCTGTTGGTGTCTATTACCTTGTGACTGAGACTGATGCTATGGGACAGACTTCATCCAAACCCCTAGACTTAATGTTAGCCCATTTTGGAGAGGTTTAAAAAAAAAAAAAAAAAAGCACATAACCTCTCAGTGTTTGCCAGGATGTCCAACGAACATTGTGGTTTGGGCCGATCTGATTGATAACCCACCCCCATATATTAAAAGTTTCTTGCCTCCACAGAAACCTGACATCTTGGCGGTGGCTGAAAAGCACCCGCCCACCCAGGCTTCGGAGCCGCCAAAAAAGGAAACTAAACCCTCTGCGCCGCTGTACCCTTTCTTACAGGGCAGAACGAAGGAAAGCTTAATTTCTCCCCCTCCTTACCAACCCCCTCCACAGGACCCAGCAGGAGGGGCAAGGTCGCCACCCGAACCATTGGTGGCCCTGGGTCGGCGGAAATGGGCCCCGCCCGAGGGACCCGGAGCCTCGCGAAGCAACGCCTGAGGGGCCGGACTCTATTGTCCCGTCCCTGAGGGCCACGGCCCCCCTCCCCCGCCGTGCCCCCCGCTGATGATCGGGGCAACCAGCCCCACCGTTACTGTTCCTTCGCCACGAGTGATTTATACAATTAGAGATCTCAGAACACTCCGTTCTCGGAGAATCCCCGCGCCCTTATTAACATACTAAAAACTGTTCTGTTCACTCATCAGCCCACTGTAGGTCACACCGAAATTGATCAGGCTCGAATTGATGCTGAACTTCCCCGAGCACGGCCGGATTGGGACTACAACTCGGTTAGAGATAAGGAAAGTCTCTTAGTCTACCGCCAGACTGTTGGCAAGTCTCAAGGCTGCGGCTCACAAGCCTTCAAGGTCAGTCAGGGATCAAAGGAAAGCCCGCAGCATTCCTTGAGAGAATAATAAAGGCATTCCGCCAGTACACCCCTATGGATGCTGAGGCTCAGGCAAACTTGGCTGCGGTGGCCATGGCTTTTATTAATCAGTCTGCTCCCGACACTCAGAGAAAACTTCAGAAATTAGATCGTCTATGGGAAAAGAGACTCTAAGATCTAGTGGTCGTGGCAGAAAGGATATATAGCAACAGGGAAAGTGCAGAGGACAAACAAGTAAGAGCTGAAAAGAGACAAAACCAGGGTCTAGCTAAGATACTACTCGCGGCAACTGCGGAACCGGAGGACAGAAAAAAAAAAAAACCCGCCTCAGGCAGTTGGCCTCAGAAAAAGAAAGTAAGAAAAACTCTCAGCGGTTGGAAGGGCGCCCCCCACTTAGGCAAAAATCAATGCGCCTACTGCAAGGAAGCAGGACATTGGGCCAAAAAAAATACCTCTAGGGAGCGCGCAATAGGGACGTCAGGGCTTGAGGACCGCCCCTCCGGGCCCCAAGCTGGCCGCCTGCACCCCCGCCACTCCCACCTCCCCCGAGCCATGCGCCCGCCCGGGCAAGGTCTCCGGGGCCGTCCCCGCCCAACCCGCGGCCTCCACGCAGCGCACTCACCGGTCGCCGACCACCACGCACTTGATGGTCGGCCTGAGACGCCGCTGACACCAGATGTGGGGATTCAACCTGGGCTCCAGCAGTTCCCGTCAGCGAGGGCTAAAACTGGGTGGCATGGGGGACCGGCTGCGGCGCGGGCACCCGTCAGTACTCCTGGGAGGCCTAGGTGGCCTTCTTGCTGTCCACGGGCACCCTCGGCCCCACGGTGGCGCTAGACTTCTTGGGCGGCAGCACGGCCTGTATATTGGGCCGGACGCCTCCCTGGGCGATCGTCACACCGCCCAACAGCTTGTTGAGCTCCTCGTCGTTGGGGATGGCCAGCTCCGGAATCTCCGCTGTAAAGTAATGGTCCTTGATGAAGAGGGATGCCTACCAAGGGGCTGAGGAACCGCCGCCCACCAAGCGTTCCCAACCAAACATAAGACTGTCCAGATCGTGGCCAAGAAACTCCTAAAAGACATCTTCACAAGGTATGGCTTTCCTCAGATGATAGGGTAAGACAAGGACCTGCATTTATGTCCAAGTTCAGCCAGAATTTAGCCACGACCCTGGGGATTAATTGGAAATTATATTGTGCATACAGATGCCAGAGTTCAGGACGGGTAAAAAGGATAAATAGAACCCTAAAAGAGACCTTAACTAAATTAACCTTGGAGACTGGCGGGAGACCGGGTGGCTCTCCTCCCCTTTGCACTGTATAGGGTGTGCAACTCCCCCTACCAGATGGGATTAACTCCTTTTGAAATCATGTTTGGGATGACCCCTCCCATCATTCCCAACCTCCAAGCACAGGCGATTAAGGAGTTTGAAGATCAGCGTCTACTGAAAGACTTAAGAAAAGTTCGGTGGGCTCAAAAAGATGTCTGGCCTAAATTGTATGCCCTCTATCCAGATAGAATACATGATTACTAAACATAGGTTTGAGTTTTCAGCTTCCTATTGCAGAAGAAGTAAGACTATTTAGATCTTTTGGGGGGAAAAATGGCTTATGCTTAATTGGTTCCTAAATTTACCGTTAAAAAAAAATTCTAGTGTAAACACCTCTCAATTGATTACTAAGTCTTCAATTGGAGACTAAAGTTTTCCAAGTTAAAATTCTGCTAAGTGTACTTAAGACTGATTTAAAAAAAAAAAATCAATCTTGTATGTAGGAAACTGAGAGATACATTTAAAAAATGTAAGAAATAAAAATATATTTTTGTTGAGAATAAAAAAAGTAAATTTGTCCTAAATAAGACTGGTTACTTAGAAAAAAAATAGTTTTGAGACAAAGTTTAAAGGCACAGGAAAAGGTAAAAGATCCGTGAAAAGAAATCTTTCAAAAAGAATTCTATGTGTACTCAGGATAGACTAAGGTTAAGATGAATGGAATTTGAAAAGTACACTGGTCAAAAGACAAAGTTTTCTTAGATTGTAAATCTGCTTTGATAAGACAATGTAAACAAAAGTTTTCTCCTTAGTTTACCAAGAAAACCAAAGCTTTAGGTTTCATCTTTATCAGGTCTTTGATTGCTTAGTTAAAGCTTCTCAATGAAAAAGGAGCTAGGTTTTGCTAACAACTATATTATGGTATACATACGCCTTTAGGATCTTTTATTCCCACTTTAGTTGAATAAAAAAAGTTATAAGATTTTTATGATCTGTAATCCTATATAGGATGCGCTTTGTAACTTCCTAAGGTTTTAACAAACTTCCCAGGACTTGAATAATAAAAAAAGTCTTTTGACCAATTAGGCCCTTTTATTTGAGATGCTAAATTACTTGGAAAAGCACTGTGTACAACCATAAACTTTAGGTTGTATTGCATGGGTAAATGCTATAACTGCCCAAATATATCTGCAAATCCTAAAGTTTTAATGTTTTGGTATAAGGTTATCACGTAATATTCTGATTACTTAAAACATTATATGTCACAAAAATAACTTAATTTGTTTGTCAATTGCGTCATACTGAACTCTCATTAAAACTTTAACAATGTCCATCTGAGATTTTGTTATTTAAATAAATTGCTTGCCTTCATGCAAGAACGTCTGGGGGCAATACAACTCATGATTGGGACCTGACCTCTTCAAATTCACAAGAGAAGGGGGGAATGAAGAGCCTAAGTAACGTCGTTTTGAGATGAAGGCCTGCATTAAAAGCAACCTCGGGCTGCACAAAGCAGCAGTTTCAGGAAAAACCGCAGATTGCTCAAGGCCGAAACCACTCTCAGATCAGCCAATCAGAGGAGGTTAAAAACATTCCTGAGGCCTGAGACAAGGGCTACTCCCCCTTGCCTAACTCACGTCATAATTGGTCATTTTCAAAGGAGTCTCAAAAGGTCATAATTGGACTCCGCCAAAAGTAACGGACACCTCGCAGACACTGAATGGTCAAAACTGTTACCATGGGTGTTGTACAACTATGATTGGCGCTTATGTGATGATACTATATGTACAACGTGTGCACTGTAACACCCCCGTCCTTTACCCCATAAAAACCCTGCTCGCTATTGTTCGGGGCTGCACTCTGTTGCCGCTGCATCGGCTGGTGGGTGAGCCCCTGCTCGAGCTTGTAATAAAAACCCTTATGTACTTGCATCGGTTTCAGCTCCTTGGTGGTCTCTGGCAATTCGCGATTCGGGCACGACAAGAGAATGGGGGAGAAAGAGGAACAATAGCTTTCCTGCTTTGCCAGGCTGAGGAGGCTGAGGCAGGTTAGGGCCTTCAGAACTACAAAGTCACCCAGAGGAAGGGCTGGGGGTTTGTAGGGAAATAAGGATCCACCTGGTTTGGACAGGAATCCTTTCTGCTGCCAGCCTTGTTCATTGGGTGTCCTGAGTGCTACTAATTTCCTCATTTTAAAAAAAAAAAAAAAGCAAAACGGCGAAGAGGACTGACTGAGTGGCTCAATCTGCTCAGCGTCCCACTTCTGCTCAGGTCGTCACGTCACAGTTCATGTGTTCCCGCCTTGCACTGGGCTCGCTGCCGTCTGCGTGGAGCCTGCTTGGGACCCTCTGCCCCTCTCCCTGCTCTTCCCCTGCTCTCGGATCCTCTCTGGGTCTCTCTTTGTCTATGTCTAAAGTAAATACACTTTAAAAAAAACTATCAAAAAAGGTGAAAATGGTAGGGGGCAGTTGCCCCAAACAGAAAAACAACGTTACTTCGTTTACCCTCAACCCATGCTATGTTTAAATGCAGTCATTTTTATTTTTATTCAACCTTACACTTTTAAGCGATTTCAATTTCAGTTACAAGGACAACCTGTAGTAAGACCACTTCGTATTATATTATGAACAACATCAATATTTACTAAAATAGCAACAAAACAAAACACAGAAAAACAAAAAAGTACACCCAAAAAACACAGGGCAACACCAAATTTCACTGAAAATCTAGAGCCATTCATATAGAATTTTCATATAATTCCGATGGGAGTATGAAAAAGTACATTTTAGGGGTGATTCCGTGGGCTCCGTTGGTTGGGCCCCCGACTTTGTCTCAGGTCATGATGTCGCAGTTGAGGAGCTGGACCCCCGTGTCAGGCTCTGTGCTCACAGCTCAGCTGAGCCTGCTTCACCTTCTGTGTCTCTCTCTCTGTGACTCCCCTGCGCATGCTCTCTCTGTCTCCCTCACTCTTCCTGTCTCTTTCTCAGAAATAACCATTAATTTTTTAAAGTACACCTATTTGGAAAGCTATTTAGCAGTGACTTAGGAAAATAAACTTTCTTACTGAAGGGCAGCAGTTTGTCACATCAAATTATGTCTCTTTGCATAAGGATTATTTTGACCTAACAAAGGAAAAGCTCTAAAAACCCAGGATAAGTTTTCTTTGTAAGAGACATTTGCATGTACAAGGGAAAGTTCCATTTGGAAGGGTGGCTCCCTCTGTGCAGCAGAAAGAGGGAGAATGTGTAAAACTCCAGAAACTCTGATCAGTGCAGACAGCATGTATTTTCTTTTTTTCTTTTTTTTTTATTTTTTATTTCTAGGAGAGAGAGAGAGAGAGAGCGTGGGCAGGGGAGGGTCAGAGAGAGAGGGAGTCACAGACTGAAACAGGCTCCAGGCTCTGAGCTGGCAGTCAGCACAGAGCCCGACGCGGGGCTCGAACCCACAAACCGCGAGATCGTGACCTAAGCGAAAGTCGGACGCTTAACCGACTAAGCCACCCAGTCGCCCCAGACAGCATGTATTTTCATCTGAGCAACGACCCGAGCCTTGGTTCCTGTGCTTTGCCTGGTCACCTCTCCAAATGCTTCCCAACAGGATCACCTGTGAAATGGACACAAAATGAGCAACAGGCAAAAGTCGATTAGAGTATGAGAGAGGGAGGTTGTAGGAAAGCCCTCCGTACAGAGAGGGGGCATTGGAGGGTGAGAACCTGAGACAATAGGCTAGAATCTTTGTGTTATGATGGTCAGGTGTCTCCCACCCTCGTTCTCTTCCCCCTTGTTGCTTTTCAATTGTTACACTTACTGCCTTCATGACTGTAGCTGCTGGGTTCTCCACGGCTACTTGTCTCATTTCCATTGTACGAGGGGTGGTCTAAGGCCATACAGTTCCTTGTGGGTCTTAGGTTTTATGGTCTACTACTAGTTTTTAGTTAGGCCTTTAGTCAAATTCCTGAGGGGAACCTGAGGGGCAGTAGGTGGTGACTCTCACTTTCTTAAGTGAAATCTTACACCTGAGGGGGTTTTGCTGGGATCAGACACTCCCAGCATTGTTCCAAAATGTGTTTTTCCCCATCCAGTGACCTCAGGTCCTATTCTTTCCCTTTCTGCCTACTGAATCCTATTGTTTTGTATCCTAATTCTAAGTGAGGCCCAGGGTTAGGCAGGAAGGCTTCCCATTAATTTATGAGAGTTGAGAGGTGTTGGGGCGGCTCATTGGGTTAAGCGTCCGACTTCGGCTCAGGTCATGATCTCACAGTTCCTGAGTTTGAGTCCCATGTCAGGCTCTGTGTTGACAGCTAGCTCGGGGCTTGGAGCTTGTTTCGGATTCTGTCTCTCTCTCTCTCAGACCTTCCCCTGCTCACGTGTCTCTGTCAGAAATAAATAATACAGTAAAAAATCATAAAAAATTTCATTATTGTAAAATGTTTTTTAAAAATTATGAGAGTTGAGTGCAGGCTTTTGCTCTAGGAGAGGTAACAGGTCTCCTGTACAGGACTTGGGGAGGGTCAGGTCCATGTAGCACACGTTTTCTAGGCTCAAGCAGAATTTGTGGGCCTCTGAGGGAAGGGAGGCCCCTGGAAGCAGAGAAGGGAAACCCAGGGATAGGTCTCCAAGCAGGAGCTCACAGTTTGTGAACAGCTTCTGACACAAAGGACTAGGAATTTGGGCTTTCTCTGCATTTCAAATTCCTGCCTGTAGGCAAGCAGTTTACTGGGGAAGAGGCTGTGTTTGTGGCTTCACAGACATTTTCTCCTACTTCAGCTGGGATTTCCCCATAAACATCTTCTGAGAAGAAAATCTGGAGGAGAAGGTGAAAGAAGAAATGGCTAGTTCTCAGGTAAGTCCTGTGGGCCTGACCGGAGGCCCTGTTGTCTTTCTGGGGAAATTCCATGCACGTAGGAATCGCAGGGCACCTGGGTGACTCAGCCAGTTGAGCAACAGACTTTTGATTTGAGTTCAGGCCATGATCCCCGGGACCTGTGTTCCAGCCTTGAGTCGGTGTTAAGATTCTCCCTCCCTTTCTCTGTCCCTCTTCCCTCAGTCTGCATTCTCTTCTCCCTCTCTCTACTTATCTCTCTCTGTGTTTCCCTCCTACCCCCCTCCCTCCTTCTGCCTTCTTCTCCTCTCTCTAAAAGTGTGATCTTATCTCCTCAATGAGGACAGAAAACACTAAGACAACGTGGCTATATGAGTACCTGACAACTTCCCTCTTGACCTTGTAATAAGAGACACTAGGTGAGACTACACATTGTGTGTTACCATACATGGAAGACAAAGAAGTCAAAAATTATAAAAACTATGCCACGTGGTGTTCAGGGCTCAGTTCCTTGGGTAGGAGCCCAACTGAGTGGTGCTGGCTGGCATAAAAGTGTTTTGTTGTGGAAATTTGGTCTGGAAGAACCAAGCAACACCCAGCAGATCTTGGAAGGGAGGGGGTTTATTGTAAACCAGGGGCTCAGAGATCATTCTCCAGAGGGCTGAGCCCAGAGCTTCAGCAGAGGGAGGAATTTACAGCCTCTTACTTCCGCATTCCTCGTTTCTGCTTGAGACGAGCAGTGTGGGAAGAAGAGCCCAGAGGAGGGAGCCTTTGATCAGGGACAGGTATTTCCTTACCAGTCCTGCCTGCCATCTTATAAGAGATTTTTCCCTATCAGTTTCCTGCAAAGAAAAGCCTTGGTGTGAGAATCCTGCCACAAAAGAAATTAAAAAAAAAAAAAAAAGCCAGTGATTTTGTTTTTAGTTCTGATGGTTCTGCTTTATGTTTTCACCTAATTTTTACCTTCTCAGAAATTATACTCAAAGTAGGTGGTTAGGACACTCCTTCCCTGTGTCCCAGAGACTCGTCTCCCTTCTCTCCAACCTGGCTTCCAGCAGGGCATCAACACTTGTCACTTTCAGTTAAAGTCCTGCAAGTATTGAAAATATTCCCTTCGAGACAGATCCTGGAGTTGAGTTGGGGAGGGGTGTTGAGTCCAAGTTTCCTGTTGCTGACGGGGTCTGGTCCTAGGATAGCAGTCAAGGAAACAGTTCCCATTTAGGCCTGATCTCAATGCTCTCTCTGCTCTGGGTACAGTAGGTACGAAAATGCACAAATACATAAGATGGAAACAAAGACAGAATAACCTGCTCATCAGGATGTGGAAAAGATACTTCAAAATATTCTCATATCACAAGACATGGAAAGTATACGTGTTTGAAGTCTGTAAAAATGCACTGTATCCTCAAAGTTGTTTCTCTTCTGACTTTCTGTTTGGGGGTCACCAGAACACAGCTGTGGTCCTGTGTTGTGAGGTGTGCCTCAGGCACTGAGATCGCTTTGATTCCTTATAGCTGACTTTATCTTCTTTTACTTGGCTTTGTGCTGCCAGATTTCTCCCCTATAAAATGCATGTTTTCTTTCTTATCAGTTGAAATGATTTTAGGCAGATTCCCTGAGCGAGATCCAGACACCATCATATTTAAAATGGAAACTTCTTTCTTCCAGTTTCTCATTCCCTGTGTGTGTGTGTGTTTACTAATTAGAGACAGAGAAAGTGGGAGCAGTGAAGTTGTAGAGAGAGTGCATGAAACCCAAGCAGGCTCCACAGGGTCATTGCAGAACCTCATTTGGGGCAAGAACTCACAAAACCATGAGACTCTGACCTGAAGTGAAATCAAGAGTCAGATGCTTAAATGACTGAGCACCCAGGCAGCCCTTGCAGTTTCTGATGAAGAGAACAAAGGCAAAAGAAATGTAGATATCATTAAATTTTTGTACAACTTGGAACCCTGTGAGAAATACTTGAGACTGGCAGAGGAAGATATTCATCAAGATATTTACAACTGCTTTATTGTTAATGCTTTTCTACAGGCAAAAAGCAAGCTTAGCTGGACAGTAGCCAGACTCCAGGATCCAGTGAGTGTCTTTTACCTATGACAAACCTTTGGAAACTTGCATTACTACTCCTCAACTTAAAGTATATAATCACTGGCTCCTCACCATCACACTGCAGCTCATTCTTTCCACATATCCTGTCCCTGTGCTTTAATAAGATCAGCGTCGTTTACCAAAAAGGCCTCAGGAATACTTTCTTGAGCCTTTATTTATGCCTACCCCACATCATATCAGTTTCTATTGGGCAGTGAAGGCCCTCATCTTGTGTAGTTCACTGCATAGTCATGACGCAGACATACTGTTCTGTGCACTTCTTTCTGTTTTCAGAAAGAGAAGGATCACATAATTCACATATTTGAGCATCTGAAAATCCCAAAGTACCATAGGGCACAAATGATGATTGAAACAAGAGCTTTCAATGAGGGGCGCCTGGGTGAATCCGTCAGTTAAGTCTCCAATCGTGATTTTGGTGCAGATCATAATCTCGGGGTTCCTGAGATAGAGCCTCATGTCAGGCAGCATGCTGACCACCCGAGACCTTGTAGGATTCTCTCTCTCTCTCTCTCTCTCTCTCCGCCCCCCCGCACCCTTATCCTTTCTTAAAATAAATAAACACCAAATTTTTAGAAATGTTTGTTCATTTCTAAGAGACAGCGTGAGCAGAGAAAGGTCAGAGAGAGAAGGAGACACAGAATGTGAAACAGCCTGCAGACTCTGAGCTAGCTGTCAGCACAGAGCCCGACGTGGGGCTCAAACCCACACACCATTAGATCATGAACTGAGCCGAGTCGGAGGCCCAACCGACTGAGCAACCCAGGCACCCCAACACTTGATTTTTGAATAAGGCCTTCAAGGTGCCTGCGTGGCTCAGTTGTTTAAGTATCTGACTCAACTCAGGTCACAATCTCAGGCTTCATGATGTCGAGTCCCACAACTCACTCACTTTCTCTCTGTCTCTGCCCCTCGTGGGTTGCTCTCTCTCTCTCTCTCTCTCCCCACCTTCCCTCACTCGTGCCCTCTCTCTCAATAAAAAATGAATGTGTTATACTATTAAAAATGATAAAATAAAAAGATTTCCAAGAAATATGATGTTATGGGATCATTGAGTTATAGAGTCAAGAAACAAGTCTTAAGTTACTGTTTGATACAAGATGGGTAATTTATTGAAGTAGCACAGGGCCAGGCCCCGTGGGCAGAAAGAACGGTACTTTGGCTGCATGAAGCTTATAAGTTCACAGGGGAAGGTAGATGCACAAAGTGTTCAATCACAAATGTTTCTGTAGATTGCTACTTTTATAAAGACTTCCGCACGACTTCTCTGCTGCTTATCTTTCAGTTCAATATTAACAATTCACGACTTCTCTGCTGCTTATCTTTCAGTTCAATATTAACAATTGGTGAGTCCTATCAGCGGTCATGAGACCCTTTTCATATGCAGTATCCAGGGCCCACTGTGTGCCTCAGTCACAGCCTGGAGCCTACTTGGTATTATTTTTCTCCCTCTCTCTGCCTCTCCCCCTATTACAACATACTTGCCCATGCTCTCTCTAACAATATAAATAAACATTTAAAAAAAGAAGAAGAAGCACCAGCAGCAGAATGCAGGAAGCAGTCTTTATTTGATGCTTACGAAAACTATGTAGGCTCTAGGTCATAGGTCAGGCTTCTGTGGTGACGGTGAACATATTTCGATTTGTATCCCTCATTATAGTAGACTCAGAAATAAAAACTGTTATATTCATATCATTTATGTGTTTGTGTTGATAGTGTAAGGAAAAGACCTAAGCATCTTTTTCTACAGCTAGATTGAGGACTTTCATGACATCAAAATGTTTTTGTTTGGTTGGTTTTTTTATTTTTTTGAGAGAGACGGGAGGGAAGAGAAAGAGCAGGAGAGAGAGAATCCCAAACAGGCTCTACGCTGACAGTGTAGACGGGTGGGGCTTGAACTAAGAAACCTTGAGATCATGACCAGGCCTGAAATCAAAAGTTGGACACCTAACTGGCTAAGCCACCCATACACTGCTCATTAAAACTATTTCTTACTCACCCTGATAATTTTCTATTCTATTACTTTTAATGTTATATAACTACTTTCAAAACGTATGCATGTGTACATGGAATGTATACAGGAAGATCAGTATTTGTGTGCATACCTTCTTCTATCCATCATTCTTCTCAGGATTGATACCTGCTGTGAACATTGATTTAAGGTCCCTTCTATATATTGACCTGTGTGTCATTTTTGATCAACTCTGGGTCAGTTAACCTGAGTTAAAACTTGATCTTTACCATGTACTGGATGCTTGGCAAAATATTCACTAAAATAGAATAATGTTTTTCTTCTGTTAGATTGTTATTATTTATTTTCCATGAATTTATGGGAGACTTTTAATATTATCAACTAACCAGGAAATGGTTGGAAAGGCTTGTTGCCACCTTTCTCAGTATTCTAGTAGAACCTATAAAATTTTTTTTTATGTTTTACTTATTTCTGAGAGATAGAGACAATGTGAGCAAGGGAGGGACAGAGAGAAGGAGATACAGGATCTGAAGCAGGCGCCAGGCTCTGAGCTAGCTGTCAGCACAGAGCCAGACGCGGGGCTCAAACTCACAAACTGTGAAATCATGACCTGTGCCGAAGTCGGACGCTTAACCGACTGAGCCACCCTGGAGCCTGTAGTAGAACCTGTAATTTCTATGAAACCCATTCAGTTCCACGTCCTCCAAGAGTTCCTGCCTTTGAGTTCTACTTCTTCGTATTGAAATATGTATCCCTTGGCCCATAGACTAATGCCTTGTTAGAAATGCAGACACCTCCCCCATCCAAGATGTCCCGAACAGTATCTGCATTTAACTGGATCTCCAACGCACTGTTGTGAATTCTAATTCATATTACAACATGCTAAGTATATTTGGAACCCACCAAAACTTTCCCTTAAGAAATAGACACCACATGTACTAAATGTTGTACTACAGCATTCAAAAATGTCTATGCATGGGGCGCCTGGGTGGCTTATCGGTTAAGTGTCCGACTTTCACTTAGGTCATGATCTCGTGGTTCGTGGGTTCGAGCCCCGGGTCGGGCTGTGCTGACTACCAGCTCAGAGCCTGGAGCCTGTTTCAGAGTCTGTGACTCCCTCTCTCTCTGACCCTTCCCTGTTCACGCTGTTTCTCTCTCTCTCTCTCTCCTAGAAATAAATAAAAAGATTTTTTAAAAATTCAAAAATGTCTATGCATTGGGGGCTGGGGGGCTCAGTCAGGTGAGCCTCCGACTTCAGCTCAGGTCATGATCTCACAGTTTGTAGGTTCGAGCCCCGTGTTGGGCTCTGTGCTAACAGTTCAGAGCTTGGAGATTGTTTTGGATTCTGTGTCTCCCTCTATCTCTGCTCCTCCCCCATGCATGCTCTCGCTCTGTCCCTCAAAAATAACATATAAAGTTTAAAAATCATTTTTTAATGTGTTTACCTGTGTTGATGCCTTCATTTTACAAATTCTCTTGAATAAACACAATATCTATAACGGTCATACCTCAAAGTTAAAGAATATATTATGGCATGATAGTCTGTTACAAATTTTCTTACTGCAGAAAGCAAGACACTCCTCTAGCCCAGAACCAGTTCTCCTAATATAACTGAGCTAACAAGAGTTTAGTCCTTGGTGAATCACAAAAAACTATACCAGGTGGGGATATCAGACAAGGAATTTGGATTTATAGGAAATAAGGTGATCACAGGGAAAAGCTTCGAAAGCAGAGACTGAGGAGGAAGGGGCAATCATTTGCTTTTTTTTTTTTTAAGTTTATTTATTCAAATACAGAGAGAGCAGAGGACAAGCAGAGGAAGAGGGAGAAAGAGAACTTCAGGCTGACTCTGCACTGAGCTCAATGTGGGGCTCAAACTCACGAAGTGTAAGACCATGACCTGAGCTGAAACCAAGAGTCAGGGGCTTAACTGTCTGAGCCACCCAGGTGCTCCGGAATGGTTTCCTTTTATTTAGGGATAGGGTGGATATTTAGAAAGGGGAGGCTGAGGATAAGTTGCACATGAACCTTAAGAAAACAGTTCTATACATTCTCTGTACGTTACACAGTAAATGACATTCGTGCTCCTCCATGGGTGGAGATTTTAGTATTATGACGAGTTAAAAGGGTGGCTCAGTCCCTTGAGCTTCCGCCTCTTGATTTTGGCTCAAGTCATGATCTCACAGTCTTGAGATTAAGCCCCAAGTCAAGGTCCTTGGTGATGATGGAACCTGGTTGGAATTCTTATCTCTACCCCACCCATACTTGTGCTCTCTCTTTGAGGAAAGAAACATTTTGAGAAATACATAATGGAGATAAAGGTAACTGTCCTCATTCCATGTTTACCCTAAAAAGTTCATCTGCATAGATGGGAGTCAGGGGTTAAACTCAATTTGAGCCAATTCAAGGTCTTCCTCAGGGCAGTCATTACCTTCTGTTGGATACTTTCTGTTTCCACCACAGGACACTGTGCCCATAGGCTGTTTTGCCTGAAGTAGGAGAGAGGTGTACATAAGAATAGTAAGTAACATGAGGGACTAAGGTCAGTGAGCACATGCAGGTAAGCAGTGAAGGTTCTGTCGTGGGGTTCACCCGGTGACATTAACTTCTCTCATAGGTACCATTATGACCTCCTCATGTGTCCACTTGGTAACTGTGGTGTTTGTTGCAGGGACTGCTGACCTTCAGGGATGTGGCCGTAGAATTCTCTCAGGAGGAGTGGGGATGCCTGAGCCACAGTCAGCGGGATCTGTACAGGGATGTGATGTTAGAGAACTATGGACACCTCCTCTTCTTGGGTGAGGATAACTCCCTCCAGTTTTCCCATCCATACTCAAGGTTTTATTCCTTGTTTGATGACTGTCTCTAGGAACCTTCCTCTTTGCATGACTGGGATTCAAATCGCTACAGTAAGGGAAAGATGTAGGGGTTTGTAGATGCAGAGAAAAATCTTCACGATTTTTCCTTTCAGGTGAGTGTTCTCTTCCCTAGAGTAACATCATCATTTTTTAGATTAACGGCAATTCTAACTGGCCTTTCTTAAATGGCAATTCAATTGAGTGGCATAAAATGGTACTTCCTACTTCAATACCAATTTGTATTGATTATGGTAGTGGTAATACTTGGAAGTGGAGACCGAGCTGTGAACCTTTGGAAATCCCTCCTGTGTGTTCCAAAGAGGCTATTGGGCAACAGCATTTGCGAATGATTTTCCAGAATTCTAGAATGTCCTCTCTTCTCTACTGAGACCAATAGTGGGTTAAAAGGTAGAATCTGCAGCAATACTCTATCCCTTTGTTCTCACAAACAGGTTTTGTTGTGTCAAAGCCGGACCTGGTCATCTTTTTGGAACAAAAGAGGGAGCAATCGGATGTGAAGAGAAAGGAGACAGTAGGCTCCTACCCAGGTAGGTGGGAAGGAAGGAAGCAGATGACAGAGATGAGGTCGTAATGTGAAGGAGGAAGACAGACCTTAACATGTGGTTTGAGAAGCCCTTTTTGAATAGAAATTAGTTTGAGACACCTAGTTTCATGTCTCTCCCTCTCACAGAGGACATCTGCTTTCCAACACCTCACGCTCTTATATTCTCTATGGATTGTCCTTCACTTCCATTGAAGATCCTTCACAGCCACAGTGAGGGCCTCCCTCATCTCATTGGTTCTCCATTGCTTTGAGGGTTTAGGGAAATCTCTGTATTTCTGAGGAAGTCTATGTTAATTCATGTCTGCGTGTTCGCCTTGTGTGAGAAGTGTTTCAGGGTAGTGGTAGCTATATTGGGGTTTGATGCAGAAATCCTGGGAACACTGGGGACAGATATCACATGTTATCTGGTTGCTTTCCAATACTATGAAGGCTTTCATCTTAATCATACAAAATTGAGACCCACTAATTTCAGCAGATAATAAAGCACCTCCCTAAAATGAGAAAATCTCAACCTTTATTTCACTTCAGAAGTTCAGGCTTTAGGGAACATGGGTGGATCAGTTTTTGAAGCTTCTGACTTCAACTGAAGTCACGATCTCACAGTTAGTTAATTTGAGTCCCGCACAGGCCTCTGTGATGACAGCACCGAGCAACTTGGGAATTCTGTCTCCCTCTCTCTCTCTGCTCCTCCCGTACTTAGTCTTATCTCTCTCTCAAATACAAATAAACTTTCAAAAGTAAGAGGAGTTCATTTTGTGTATTATTAACTAAAATAAGATATTTACACTGCATGTGTTCCATTCCTCACTGGCGAAGGAATTAAAGCACCTATGATGTTGCCAGCATTCCTGCATCAATTAATACCATAGGGGTGATACAACATTTAGAATTTAAAACTCACAGCCCATAATAAAGTTTCAATTGTTACATTATGTCTTAATACTTGAATCATTTTAGAATTTTTCATGTATACTATGAAGTTGATGTGACTTTGTTATATATGTTTTCACTTTCTGAGTAGTTGTGTATGAGATGACGTTATGATTTATTACATTAAAATTTTTTTTAGTATTTAATTTATTTTTGAGAGAGAGATAGAGACAGCATGAGCAGGGGAGGGTCGAAGACAGAGGGAGACACAGAATCTGAAACAGACTCCAGTCTCTGAGCTAGTTGTCAGCACAGAGCCCGATGCGGGGCTTGAACCCACGAATCGTGAGATCATGAGTCGATCTGAAGTCGGATGCTTAGCCGACTGAGCCACCCAGGCGCCCCTACATTAAAATTTTTAAAAAATTTTTTAATATCTATTTTCGTGAGAGAGAGAGAGTGAGAAGGAGAGGGCAGAGACAAAAGGCGACACAGAATCTGAGGCATGCTCCAGACTCAGAGGTATCTACACAGAGTCTGACATGGAGCTCAAACCCACAAATTGTAGGATCATGACCTGAGTCTGTCTGATGCTCAACTGACTTAGTCACCCAGGTGTCCCTTGATCAGTAGTTCTGAAATGACAGGGGCATGTGCTTTATAACAAATGAAGGTGATGGTTAGTAAAATTTCTGTATATAGAGAAAAGTTTCAATTGTAAATGAAATTTTACTTCAGGAAAATTGAATCACTCTTTTTTCTACTTTTCTCAGAATGTATCTGAATTCAATCCCAGAGATTTTTTTAATAATGTGCTTGCTATTTACAATACTGCCAGTGCTTGTTTACTCAGAAATAAAAGATTTGGAGGAACATGAGTGGCTTAGAGGGTTGAACATGTGACTCTTGAATTCAGTTCAGGCATGATCTCACGGTCTGTGAGTTGTAATCTGGATCCTGCTCTGCACTGACAGCATGGAGCCTGTTTGGGATTTTCTCCCTCTCTCTCTGCCTCTTACTTTCTCTTTCTCTCTCTGTCTACTTCTCTGTTACCCTGTCTCTCTTACAATAACTTTAAAGAAAACTTAAAGGAAATGTTTTTGATTGCTCGATTCTGAAGAATGGATTACACTCTTAAAATTTATGTGATTGGAAAGATCTATTAACATAACACACTTTTAATGTCTTTTCACTGCTTCATTCATAAGAGTTTTCATTAGAGGTTTCCATGGTTGGTGTTTTTTTTTTTTTCTTAATGTTCACTTATTTTTGAGAGAGACAGAGTGTGAGTAGGGGAAGGGCAGAGAGAGAGACAGACACAGAATCCGAAGCAGGCTCCTGTCTCTAAGCTGTCAGCACAGAGCCTGACGCCGACTCAAACTCATGAACCGGTGAGATCATGACCTGAGCCGAAGTTGGACACTTAACCGACGGAGCCACCCAGGTGCCCCTCCATGGTTGGTTTTAATTAATATACTTCACACTTTACTGTCATGCCAATAATTCGAAATGCTCCATTTCTTTTATGTGTATACAGTGACAGTTTAATATTATAGCTACATAGGGGCGTCAGGGTGGCTCAGTTGTTTAACTGTCTGGCTCTTGATTTAGGCTTAGGTCATGGTCTCACAGTTTGTGAGTTTATGCCCTGTGTCCAGCTCTGTGCCAACAGTGGATATAATGGTTTGTTATACCTTTAAGTTATTTTAAGTAATCTCTAAGGAAACCACAATGAAAATATGTACACTATATTCACCAATAAACAGATAAAACAATTAATTCTATTCTGACAACACACAGAGATGAAACAATATTCACTGACCACTAACCAAGGAAAGAAATAACACAGGATGATTCACAAAGTATGCAAGGGTAATATTTCTAGAGACAAATACTAAGATAATCGTATTGGAAGAGGGCATAAAGGTGATTCATATTTGAGTTACACTCACATTGTCAAAAAATGTAATGAGCTGAAAATTGTCACCCTCTCCGAAAATACACAGGTAAAAACAAAACCACACCTAAAGCTGAAGTTGAAAAATAATGTAGTGGAAAAATCCATACTAAAGGAACCACATTATTATCGAATTGCAAAATCAGAATAAGTCAAACTATAACCCAAAAGTTCTACATAAAAATGGTGAATTATGTAAAGGAATGTTACTATACATTTATTTTTTCTTTTGGGAGAGAGAGAGCACCAGGGGAGGAGGAAGAGAGAGAGAGGGAGGGAGACAGAGAATCCCAAGCATGTTCTACTCTGTCACCACACAGCCCAATGCAGGGCTCGAAGTCCTAAAATGTGAGATGATGACCTGAGGTGAAATCAACAGTCAGACTCAACCAACTAAAACAGCACCCAGGAGTCCCTGTGTATCTAAGGGACTCAAAGGAGTCCCTTTGTTTCCTTTTTAAAAATATTTAATGTTTATTTATTTATATTTGAGAAGGAGAGACAGAGTCTGAACATGGGAGGGGCAGAGAGAAAGGGAGTCACAGAATCTGAAGCAGATTCCAGCCTCCGAGCTATCAGCACCCATTCTGACAAGGGATTCCAACTACTGACCGAGAAATCATGGCCTGAACTGAAGCTGGACACTGAACGTACTGAACCACCTAGGTCACCTGTAGATATAATACTGAATTCTGAGTGTGCACTCAGGAAAAAACGGAACATTTTGAATTAGTGCCATGTCTTCATGGACAGTAAAATTGTAAAGTATATTCATTAATATACACCATGGAAATCTCTAATGAAAACCTTGATGTATTAAGCACTTAAAAGACATTATAACACAGAATTTCAGGGTATTACCCATTTTTCAGAATCAAGCAAGTAAGAAACTTTCATTCCTTTTAAGGTTTTTTTCCCCCCATGCATTTTGAGAGTTGGAGAGTTAGAGAGTGGAGGAGGAGCAAAGAGAGAGGAGAGAATTCCAAGGAGGTTCCACACTGTCAGTGCCGAACAGGATGTGGGGTGGAACTCCTTAACTATAAGATGATGACCTGAACTGAAAGCAAGAGTCAGATGCTCAACCCTCTCAGCCACACAGGCACCCCAAAACCTCTTATTTCTAAATAAATAAATGCCATCAAAGTTGTAACAAATGCCAACAATATCATGATAAAAAATAGTTGGAATTAAATACAGATATAATCTGAGTGATGTAGAAAAACTAATGATTCATTTTTCCTAAGTTAAAGTTCTCTGATTTCAATTTTGTGTGTCAGAAATTGTTATTGTATTCACCTGACAGTAGTATTTGGAATGATTTTTCTTGTATTCATTACCTTTCAGCAGTGTCTTCAAATGGCCCTCAGAGCCTCCTTCCAAAGATGTGCAGAGAAACTGCTTTCCAAAGAGTGTCAGTGGGTAGATGTAAAGAGAGCGTCATTGAGAATGGACTCTTAGTGATAGACGGGAACAGTGTTGGGGAGACAGAAGGGCATCAAAGATGTCATGAAGCACCTATGCACATGGAGACAAGGGTCCATTATAAGAGTCTCACTGCCCCAATCGGTGAAAGTTCTAAAGCATTTTGGGTAACGCCCATTTCGAAGTCCATTACTTCTGGAAAGCAGTATGTTTCTATAGGCAAAGGCTCAAATCAAGTGGTGAAACACACATATTTGCAGAACAAAAATTTTGAAAATCTGGTAAGTGACCTTGTCCATCTTGAAAACACACATTTGTACCATTTTGGCCATAGGATTTCATTGACCTTTCAGTCAAATATTTCTGAATATTAGAGATTTAAAACTGTAGGATAAAGTGGTAAGTGGCTTTCATTTGAAGGGTCCTTCTCTGAGCAATCGACCTTAAACCTTAACCACAGCATTTTCAATGAAAACAGAATTGCTTATTGCAGTGAATCTGAGACAATACTTAACCAGGGTTCAAATGTTATGAAACATCGAAGGACATGTTTGTCAGAGAACCATTATGAATCAAATAAATGTAAAGAAGTGTTTCATGAAAGCTCCAACCTTCTTATACATAAGAGTACACATTTGGGAGAAAATCCTTCAAAATATAATGATTGTGGGATAATTCCTAACCAGTCCTCTAATGATCATGATCATCAGAGGATTCATGTGGGAAAAAAGCTATCTACATGCAGTGAACTTGGGAACCTGCTTAGTGAGTCATCAAGGCTAAAGATAAATAAGACAATGCATACTGGAGAGAAAGAATACATTTGTAAGGATTGTGGCAGAGCCTTCAAATGGCACTCAGCACAAATTCAACATCAACGAGTGCATACTGGAGACAAACCTTACAAATGTGAAGAATGTAGTAAAACCTTTAATTATGGCTCATCAGTAAATGGACATAAACTAATCAGTACTGGCGAGAAACCTTACCAATGTAAAGAATGTGGCAAGGCCTTTAACTGGCCCTCAGCTCTTAATCAGCATCACAGAATCCATACTGGAGAGAAACCTTACCAATGTAAAGAATGTGGCAAGGCCTTTATCTGCCGCTCACTTCTTAATCAGCATCACAGAATCCATACTGGAGAGAAACGTTACCAATGTAAAGAATGTGGCAAGGCCTTTACCCACCGCTCAAACCTGAATGAACATCACAAAATTCATACTGGAGAGAAGCCTTACCAATGTAAAGTGTGTGGAAAGGCCTTTTCCCATTCTTCAAGCTTTACTGAACATCACAAAATCCATACTGGTGAGAAACCTTACCAATGTAAAGAATGTGGGAAGGCCTTTAACCGGCCCTCAGCTCTTAATAGACATCACAGAACCCATACTGGAGAGAAACCTTACCAATGTAAAGAATGTGGCAAGGCCTTTACCTGCCTCTCTGTTCTTAATCGACATCACAGAATCCATACGGGAGAGAAACCTTACCAGTGTAAAGAATGTGGCAAGGCCTTTATCTGCCACTCACTTCTTAATCAGCATCACAGAATCCATACGGGAGAGAGACCTTACCAATGTAAAGAATGTGGCAAGGCCTTTAAAAACCACTCAGCTCTTAATCAACATCACAGAATCCATACTGGAGAGAAACCTTACCAATGTCAAGAATGTGGCAAGGCCTTTAATAACCACTCAGCTCTTAATCAACATAATAAAATTCATACTGGAGAGAAACCTTACCAATGTACCAAATGTGGCAAGGCCTTTACGCACCGCTCAAACCTGAATGAACATCACAAAATTCATACTGGAGAGAAGCCTTACCAATGTAAAGTATGTGGCAAGGCCTTTTCTCACTCTTCAAACTTTACTGAACACCACAAAATCCATACTGGTGAGAAACCTTACCAATGTAAAGAATGTGGCAAGGCATTTACACATCGCTCATCCCTTATTCAACATAACAGAATCCATACCAGAGGGAAACTTTACCAGTGTAAAGAATGTGGCAAGGCATTTTCCCACAACGTAAACCTTACCAAACATCACAAAATCCATACTGGAGAAAAACCTCACCAATGTAAAGAATGTGGCAAGGCCTTTAACAGCCACTCAGGTCTGAGTCAACATCACAGAATCCATACTGGGGAGAAACCTTACAAGTGTAAAGAATGTGACAAGGCCTTTTACTGGTCCTCAGCCCTTAATCAACATAACAGAGTCCATACTGGAGAGAAACCTTACCAATGTAAAGTATGTGGCAAGGCCTTTTCCCACTCTTCAAACTTTACTGAACACCACAAAATCCATACTGGAGACAAACCTTACCAATGTAGAGAATGTGGAAAGACCTTTACCCAGCACACAAATCTATGTGCACATCAGAAAATTCATACTGGAGAGAAACCTTACCAATGTAAGGAATGTGGCAAGGCCTTTACGTACCGCTCGTACCTTATTCAACATCACAGAATCCATACTGGGGAGAAGCCTCACCAATGTAAACAATGCGGCAAGGCCTTTACCCAACGATCAAGCCTTACTCGACATCACGGAATTCATACTTGATGGAAACCACTGTAAAGAATGTTCTAAGGTCTTTCATCAGTCTTTATTCTTTATTCATTATCACAGAATTCATACTGGAGGAAATCTTCCAGACTTAAGGAATGTGAAAAACATTTTGTAGACAGCTCACCCCTTACTTCACAATGGAAAATGTAGAGAAAGTTGCAGGGTTTATGAGTGGAATTTGATCCTTAATCAATATCCTAAAGTACACAAGAGATGTAAATTCTACAGACATAATGAATGAGGAAAGGCCTTCATATTAAATGTACACGTTAGCAAGCACCAGAAACTTCTTCATAAAAGAAGGTACCTTGAAAGATTTAAATCTTTAGAAGGATATTTAACGGAATATCAAATGTCAACAAATGTCACAGAATTCACCTTGAAAAGTACTACGTCAGTCTCTACTCAGACACACGTCAAGATACTAATTATAAGGAATAAACAATATTAAACAGTGTATATGCCATTATGCCTCAAAAGATTAATTGGATCAGTTTTTCATAGGCACGTTAATTTCAGTCTGTGCTCTGTTTTTTTATCACCTCAACCCTATGTGACATTTGTGACTAGTAAACATTAATATATTTCTACTCTCGAATTACTTCCAAAATTCATTAATTCCCAGTGGGTTTTGAAAATTACATGGCTGATTGTTGATGCATGAAAGATATGACATGCCCTTCTTCAATAATTGTGACTCATGTGTCATTGTCATGGAAGATGAACAACATAATATACAATTTATAAAGAAACTTCATGGAGATGCTGCTTTTGGTGAAATCATTGGTGTAAGTTCTAATGTAATAGGTGTTCAGAACATCATTCTTTCCCTTGTATTAAAACTAAAATTCTTGAGATGATTGGGTGGTTCAGTCGGCTGAGTGTCCGACTTCAGCTCAGGTCATTATCTCATGGTTCATGTGTTTGAGCCCCGTGTCGGGCTCATTGCTGACAGCTCAGATTCTGGAGCCTCTTTCAGAGTCTATGTCTCCCTCTTTCTCTCTCTCTGCCCCTCCCCTGCTCACATACTGTCTTTCTCTCTGAAATAAATAAAGAATAATAATAAAAGCAAAACTCTTGTTGACTATTATAAATAAAATAATATCCCAAATGGTCTATAAGGAAAAAAGAGGTGGCAGGGTAGTGAAACACTAGTATACCTTCGCCATGGCAATAGTTAGAGAATGTCAGTTAATGTGGTTGAAATGATGGAATGCTCAGAGGGATTAGAAACAGCATGACAAACTCTTCCCCAAACTGTCATACGATTATACATATTTTACAAGAATGACCTCAGGCCTGGAAATTATGGATGTCTGTATTCCCATATCAACTTGTCAAATATTTGTGAAGGCTTGTCTTCTAGATTTAAACAGTGGTAATAGAGTGGACTTGAAATGCATGACTTTGTCTATGTGTGAACTTAAAATATTTAATTAATAAAACATAATTGATTTTAATGTGTTTACTGCTGGGAGCCGCCTGTCCTCTCTGGATGGGAGTGACAGCAAGAAAATGGCAGTGTTTGCACAGCTCCTACCATGAGAAATGAAAACTGGTATTTCTTTCTGCTACTATTGGCTCATGTTGGAAATGAGCATGCTGGTATTGACCAGGCCTCACAATATTCCATATCAGACCAATATTTTGAACACAGGTACCTCATAAGGAAAAGCATATTCCTGCCTTTACAAAAGAGATTTTAGATGAAAGCTCTGTGGATCATTGTCAAAAGGCCCTTCCTATGGGCCTTGCAGATCCAAGACTTAGATAATAAAGGGGGTTAAGAACACAAGAGTTACAATTGAGCCTGGTCCCATGTCTAAAGAGCCTAATTTAGAGTTAAGGCACAGACAAGGACAAAACATAACTTACTAATTGGTGATGCATAACAGTCCCTTCCTCAAGGCCTACATTCCACAAACACCCCTCCTGGCAGCTGGGATGAGGATAGATAAGCCTAGTTAACACATACCCAAAAGCAAAAGGTTAACACATTTAGGGCCCCCATGGTGTTCACACATTCAGCATCAAATAGGTTTCCACAAACAAATCAGTTCAGAAACATTCATCCTCTTGAGAGCCAGACAGAATGACTCGTAGCTTATCTATATACAGTTTGACCTCTATATTATCCTGTTTTTCACTAAAAGCATCCTGTTAAATCCTTGGCTGTAAATTCACTATGACTGGGATAATTCTGCAGAATATCAAAAACTTGTTATCGCAAAAGGCCTCCCATTGTAGAAATTCCTTTGTCTCACTTCATGTTGTTGCTGAACCTTTAAATAAAGACACAAAAAAAACGACAGGACAGAGATGCCTGCCTGGTGATCAGAAAGAATCTCAGGGCTCTCTCACTCTCTCGCCAACTCTGTCCATCCTTCAGGGACCCCTGGGGCTGCCGGAGCTGGCCTCTGACAGTTTACCTAGATATGTAGAGTGGAGTGTTATCTGACCACCAATTTTCACCTATCGCATATCATTGAATACTGTAGGAAAGGGATGGAAAGTAAGATAATGTGAAGATCTCTTTGCATTGTAGGGTGGGAACCCGAAATGGCTCCCTTTCATAACTCCAAAGTCACAGGCAGCTCTTGGTCGCATCATCTGATGAATAAAAGTCATAGACATAAGGAATTGGCAAGCTTGGTGGGATTCTGAGGATGAGGGAAATGCCATTTCATCTTCCTGATTGAATTGAATCCCTGTGTGTTACTAGGACCAGATGGTGTAAGATGACAATGATTCCTGTGATGCCCAGGTGTTGATCAGTGGCAGTTATGAAGGAGGGCATACTGGATGATGTAATCATTGTGGGCATTGCTGTAAAATGTCACACGTTACAGTAGATATTGGAGATGACGCTCAAAGGGCCTGGACATAGTGGGATATGTTGAGAGACAGGGACCCGATGAGATTTATTAGAAACACCTACTGTACCTGTTTTCACTCTCTGAAGGAGGGCTGTAGACAATCTACAAAGCCGCATAGGAAGCAGGGAGTTTTTAAAGGGGAGTCAGGGAACTCCTGAGCATTGACATGCAGGGGAAGCAGTGGTACAGTGCTGAATCATTCTCCATATGACCTCAAGACTTGCTGGCACAAGAAAAGAGCACTTTTCTACCATGGTCAAACTTGAAATTCTAGGAACATTGAGTTCCTTGTTACCCCAGCATCAGTGACCTGTTGAAATCTCAAAGAAGCGACAATTAGTCAAGCCATAGCTAGAAAGCATAGGTCAGTGTGTTAGATGTATGTACCCATGACAGTATTTGGAACAGGTATAGTCTGAGAAAGTCTGTATTTGGAAAGTAACAGACACATCATTAAGGCAGTGTTTATGGAGCTTTTACTCACCACACACACAGATTTTACTCACGAGGTGCTGTGCTGGGTACCTCAAGAACGTGCATGTGAGTTAAGCTTTTCATACCTTAGGATCTGAAAATGGGTGTCCAGTATTTCCCCTAGAATATAGGTATTGTGCCCTGCTTTTCTGTTACTTTTTCTCCCATAACGTTGATTGTATAAAAGAGGAGCCAAGTACAGTTTGGAAGAATATGTGAAAGCATGAACTGGAACCTCAGAGGAAGTTCTCATTGTTGACAAAGAAGTAAACTGGCGGGTAACAAACAGGAGACATTCAAATTTAATAGTATATGTATGGAGACTCCACAAACAGGAAAATTGCAGAGAAAGGAAAAGTAAGGTATACATGTCTTTGAAGAAGAGAGAAGGAAGGAAGAAGGAAAGGAGGGAAGATCTTACAGAAGTCTGGGGTCTCCAAGGGAAAGAATGTAATTCACAGGAAGATGAAAAGTAAGTATTTGATAAGCAAATATATATTTTTTTACAAATAGTTTATTGTCAAGTTGGTTTCCATATAACACCGAGTGCTCATCCCAAGTGCCCTCCTCTATGCACATCTCCCCCCTCCCCCCGCACACCCATGAGTCCTCAGTTTGTTCTCAGCATTCAATAGTCTCTCATGGTTTGCCTCTCTCCCTTTCCCCCACCATTTCCCCCCTTCTTCTCCCCCATGGTCCTCCATTATGTTCCTCCCAATCTTCCTATACATGCAAACATATGATATTTGTCCTTCTCTGCCTGACTTTTTTCGCTCAGCATAACACCCTCAAAGTCCATCCATGTTGCTACACATGGCCAGATTTTATTCTTTCTCATTGCCGTGGAGCAGTCCATCGTATAGATAAACAACATCTTGACCCATTCCTCTGTTGATGAACACTTAGTCTCTTTCCATATTTTAGCTTTTGTTGAGAGTGCTGCTATGAATATTGGGGTACATGTGCTCCTATGCATCAGCATTTCTGTATCCCTTGGGTAACTTCCTAGCAGTGCTATTGCTGGATCCTAGGGGAGTTCTATTGTTAGTTTCCTGAGGAACCTCCACACTGTTTTCCAGAGGGGCTGTACCAGTTTACATTCCCACCAACAGTGTAGGAGGGTGCCCGTTTCTCCACATCCTCGCCAGCATCTAGAGTTCTCTGATTTGCTCATTTTAGCCACTCTGACTGGCGTGACGTGGTATCTCAGTGTGGTTTTGATTTGTATTTCCCTGATGAGGAGGGATGCTGAGCATCATTTCATGTGTCTGCTGGCTATCTGGATGTCCTCTTTGGAGAAGTGTCTGTTCATATCTTCTGCCCATTTCTTCACTGGGTTGTTTGTTTTTCGGGTGAGGAGTTTGGTGAGTTCCTTATAGATTTTGGATATTAACTCTTTATCTGATATGTCATTTGCAACTATCTTTTCCCATTCCGTTGGTTGCCTATTAGTTTTGTGGGTTGTTTCCATTGCCATGCAGAAGCTTTTATTCTTGATGAGGTCCCCATAGTTTATTTTTGCTCTTGATTCCCTTGCTTTTGGGGGATGTGTCAAGTAAGAAGTTGCTGCGGTGGAGGTCAAGGAGGTTGTTTCCTGCTTTCTCCTCTAGGGTGTTGATAGTTTCCTGTCTCACGTTCAGGTCCTTAACCATTTTGAGTTTATTTTTGTGTATGATGTGAGAAAATGATCTAGTTTCATTCTTCTGCATGTTGCTGTCCAGTTCTCACAACACCATCTGTTAAAAAGGATGTCTTTTTTCCATTGGATATTCTTTCCAGCTTTGTCAAAGATTAGTTGGCTGTATACCTTTGGGTCCAGCTCTGATTTTTCTATTCTATTGCATTGGTCTTTGTGTCTATTTTTGTGTCAATACCATACTGTCTTGATGATGACAGCTTTGTAGTAGAGGCTATGTCTGGGATGGTGATACCTCCCGTTTTGGTTTTATTTTTCAGTATTACTTTGGCTCTTCGGGGTTCCATACAACTTTTAGGATAGTTCTAGTTTTGAGAAGTCTGCTGGTGCAATTTTGATTGGATTTGCATTGAATGTGTAGATGATAAGCAAATATTTTCTGGGCCACTCTAAAACAGTAGGACATAGAAAACTTTGTTCACATGGTCGTTCCTGGGCTCCTCTCTGTTGACCATACTTTGCTTGTATCATAACGTAGTCCGTGTGGTGAGTGCTCTCCTGGGCAGCTTTCCTATGTATATTATTTTTAAACAGGTGAAAAGTAAACACTTTTCCTTCATCTGCTTAATTTTGATTGCTTCTTAACTCGAATATTTCTGCCAACAGAGTCCAGCTTTGAAGACCCTGTTTGTGACTCCTACAAAGTGGAAGATTTTTTGTTGAACTAAATGAGAATCACACAGGAGGGAAAATACTATATGAAATCATGTGAAAT